TACATATATGTTACATTACTGTGTTTGCTGGGTAGTAGATTTTCAACGTCCAAGTTTAGTCACAAATCTTTTTTCGTAACGATTATACGATCTAACAATCAGTTTTCCACTAAACAGATTTCACTCCGAGGGCAATAAATTCATGGTGGAACCAACAGATGATGATATTAATTTAGCATTTTTATTAATTTTTAGGTAGAAACTCCGCTATCTCATGTTAGAAGCTTATCTCATAATAGAGGGCTTTCCTCTGTGTATGAGAGGACATTTTTTTTAGAAATCTTATAGAACACGCAATTATGTCAACCGTAAACTTCATCGCGTTATAAAAATATAAATGAGTATACATATAGGAGGGAAATTAAAAGTCTTGTAGAACGCAAAATTATACATACATATTAGTAAACTTTATATAAATATATCACTTTATATAAATATAATGAGTATATAAGAGGAAAATTTTTGAGAATTAATCTTATAGAACGCAAAATTATATCAACCGTGAACTTCGTCGCGTTATAAAAATATAAAAGAGTATATAGCAGGGAAATTGAGTCTTGTAGAACGCAAAATTATACATATTAGTAAACTTTATCACTTTATAAAAATATAATGAGTATATAAGAGGGAAATTTTTTTAGAATCAATCTTATAGAAGGCAAAATTATATCAACCGTAAACTTCGTCGCGTTATAAAACTATTATATAAATAAGTATATAAGGCGGAAATGTTTTATAAATTTTGTAGAACGCGAAATTATATCAACCGTGTACAAAGGAGGGAAATTAGATGTCTTCTAGAACGCGAAATTATATTCGCAAACTTTATCCCGTCATAAAAATACAAATGTGTGTAAGAGGGAAGGTTTTTTTAGAAGATGGAATACGAAATTCCACACGCAAAGAAAAGATTAACCGAAAGAGCTAATATTTAGCAGTGACAGCTAAAATGTGTCTTTGAAATAGAGACAGCTAATGTTGTTGCTGCCAAACCTCAATTTATTAGCTCTTTGAATTTAGATACTGCAGCGAAAAATATTAGCTGTTAGAAACAAATAATATCTCGCTGTATATACAGAAGCGCAGAAACATACGTCGAACAGCATTATAGAACGAAAAGAACGATACCATGCCGTTGTATTGTACATACCACACGCGAAGTAATGGTAAGCTGATAGATATGGCGACGTCTCAAAAACAATTGCGAATCGTATGTCGGGATCGCGCGCGTAATGTATTTCAAAGTAGCTGCTACTTTCTTAGCTGCTCGTGCTAAGTGCGCTATTCTTTCCAACTAATAAAGTTGTATCTCGCGGTGATTGAATTAATTAAAATGCGTAATGCAAAGGGGGGCAATAAGAGCTAAACGCTGGATGTTGAGTGCAGATATAACAATATTATGTATGTTATTTATTAGAAGTAATCAAAGTCAAACGTTTCGACCAACACATGTGGTCCTTTTCAATGACAATAAAAATTTTTGATTGAATTTTATCTATAATCACAAACTTTTAGCAATGGCAGCAAAACACTTAGCTACAAATATAAAATATCAAATAGATTTGGAGTTTGTAATTGTTAAATCGGCCGGATAAGCCGCAAGTGCCAGAAAAGAACGAGTTATTCTTGATTACTGTTGGTCTTTTGATTGTGTGTTGGTAGAAAAAATTAATGGGATTTCGGTTTGTAGAGTTAACATGATTACGCTGTAATTGTAGGTTCGCATTTGTTAGAAATAATCATAAAATTGATCGTCGGAATAGGAGTTAGAGAATAAAGACCAATACGTACAAGAGTGATCGCAAGTCCAAGAACAGATCGAAGTGTGAGATGCTGTTTGTCGAGTAACTTAATGTGTCAAAGTATGAAGCTGTAATGATGGACGAATATCGCTAGTCAACTGTTGGTCTAGGTGAACAAGGGATCGAAAATATGGAGGTGGGGGAAAAAAGGGGAGGACCAGAAGAAAAACGATTGAAAGTAAAGACTTAGAATTCTCTAATTCATCGGTAAGGAAATTTGTTTTAAAATGCTTTTAACTACTTTCAAAGCAGCTACTGCAATTTAGCTGATATTACCAAGTCACTTCTTTGCGTGCATTAGCTGTAAACTTCATCGCGTCACAAAAATACGATGAATGTATAAGGAGAAAACTCGAAATGTTATACAAGACAAAATTAAACCGACCGGGAACCATTGCGAGGGACACAATTGAGGGGGAAAATACGAACGGGAGAGAAAAGAATATACAAAGGAGGGAAGATTAGAAATCTTTCGAATACACCGCCGCGCCGGGTCCGCCGGGTCGTCGCCGATCAAATTGAAAGTCGACGTGCGGGTAAATTCTGTATCTTACGCTGTAATAAAACCGCTAAAAGTGAGCAACTGTCCCTTTAGAAAGAGACAAACACTTTTAGCATATTCACTACGTTGCGAGATACAGAATTGACCCCCCCCCCCCCCCCAGATAGCCAGTGTAAGCACAAGTTGCTTTTACATTGCTAAGAAAAATGTTAGCATCTTGCTATGCATCTATGTCGTTTATTGTGCTGTTATTTGCTAGCATTTGGTGTCGGAAATTAAACATTTGCATGATTCAAACATTATGCTAGCATTAAGTGCTTGGTCAGATGTAATAAA